GTCATCTCTTCTAGCCCCAGTTTTTTTTTTTTTTTTTGTTGTTGTTGTTTTTTTAAACCTGTGGCGTGTTGTTTCCATTTTTAGTCTCAGAAATTAAGGATTTAAAGAATCCTGTTAGAGAATATAATGCTTTTTCTTTAAAAAAATTTCTTGGAGGAAAGAATATTTATTCATGTGCATATGTAACCATTTAGCAAATACAGTTTTTATTATGTTGCTTGATTGATTGTTGCTTGTTGATTCTTTTTCATGTAAGTAAAGCATAAAAAGATTCTGATAAAAGTGAGAATGATAGGTGTTTAACAACATTCCAAATAAGGAGCATTAGAATTGAACCTTTTTTTTTTTTTTTTTTTCCCCATCTTTTGGAGACAGGGTCTCCCTGTAGCCCCAGCTGGCCTGGTGCTCCCTATGTAGACCAGGCTGGCCTGGAACTCACAGAGATCCACCTTCCTCTGCCTCTGCCTCCCAAGTGCTGGGATTAAAGGCGTGCACCACTACACCCGGCTAGAATTGAATCGTTTAAAAGGTTCAATCCCCAAGATTTCATGTGAAATGTATTTGTTTTTATGTTTCTATGATCAGAGTTTGATAACAGAGGAAAACCTTGGATACTTTGTGCTATTGCCAAAACTCTTTAAAATTAGGTAAGAAATAGGTTTTATTCATTTATTTTTGGCTGCCTTTAGAGTTCATGCTCCATAAGCAAGTTTTTTAAACAGGATCTCATGTAGCCTGGGCTGAATTCAAACTGGCTATGTAGCCAGTGAACTCCTGATCCTCCTGTCAAGTGCTGGATTACAGGTGTGTGCTACTTAGCTTGGTTTAAGAATTTTTTTCCCCTAATTTTTTTTTTTTTTTTTTTTTTTTTGTGTGTGTGTGTGTTTTTGAGACCAGGCCTCCCTGTTGCCCCAGCTGGCCTGGAACTCACTATGTAGACCAGGCTGGCCTTGAATTTAAGAGATCTGCCTGCTTCTGCTTCCCAAGTGCTGGGATTAAAGGCTTGTGCCACCACACCCAGCTTGGTTTTATTTTTTTTTAATTTAAAAATTTATTCATCTACTTTGTGCATGTGTGCTGTACCACATGTCTAGAGGTTAGAGCACAATCTGTAGGAGTTGGTTCTCTTCTACTATGTTAATCTTGGGTATTAAACTCGGGTTGTCAGGCTAGGTAGCAAGCACCTTTACTCACTGAGCCAACTGTCTGACCCTGTAACCTGATATTCTTGAAAGTCTTTGAGTCAGTTATTTAGTATTTCTCTTTAGTTGACTTTTTTTTTTAAAGCATTTATTCATTTTTTGTGTCTGCTTGTGTATGTATGGCTTCAAACTTGCCATGTGGTTTCTAGACCAGAGTTCAAAGTTTTGGGAGTTAATCTGCTGAGCTGTCCTTCACTGGCTTAAATTGGCTTTTCTTGTGTATATATTGGAATTAATACATCTTTGGTATTGAATATGGAGAGGTGCTTCTTTTGTTTATTGCATTCTGTCCTGTGACATACAGTGTCAAATTGTTCTTTACTAATGATGTTCATTGTGATCTGTTAATTACTATATTTGTAAGACTGTTTCACCAAAGAGCTGTAATTAATACATTTTTGAGTACTTACAAATTGTATAAGTAAGCTATTCTCAAATATATATATATATATATATAGCTATATTCTTGGTTAACATTTTATTAAGTGGTTATGATACAGTATTATTTTCACTGATAATAAAAGTCACTTAGAGCTGGGTGTGGTGGCGCATGCCTTTAATCCCAGCACTCAGGAGGCAGAGGCAGGTGGATCTCTGAGTTCAAGGCCAGCCTGGTCTACGTAGTGAGTTCCAGGCCAGCTGGGGCTACAGGGAGACCCTGTCTCAAAAAGACCCAAAAAAAAAAAAAAAAAGTCACTTAGTTAACCATTTAAGGTGTACAGTTTATTGGCATTTAGTACATCCATGATGTGCTTACATGAAATTCTAGAATGTATTTGTCACCTCAAAGGAAATCCTGTGTGTTATGTGCTTTCCATTTTGTCCTCCCAACAATTTCTGAGAATCATTGTTATGAATTCACTTACTAATAGATGTTTCGTATAACTGGAATCATACAATATGTGATCTTTTCTGTCTGCTTTTTTTTTTTTTGCTTTTTTTGCTTTGCATGCTCTTAACTTCATGCCATGTTCTAGTACTTCATTCTTTTTATAACTAACTTTCCACAGCTTTGCTTATTCTTTTTTGTCCATTTATGGACATTTGGGATGATTCTATCTTTTGACTATTGAGAATAACTGCTGCAAACATTGGTATACAAGTATTTGAATACAGTTTTCAGTTCTTTGGCTATATCTAATAAAGGTATCGCTGGATAATAGGGTAATTCTGTTTTTAACTTTTGCAGGATTGTCAAATTGTAGTCCATAATGGTTGGACAATTTTTACTTCATATGCTTAACGAATGAAGGTGCCAGTTTTATTGCATCGTTGAAAACACTTGTTATTTTCTGTCACCTAAAAAAAAAAAATGTAAATATCCTAGTGGGGTGAAGTATTTCATGGTGGTTGTGAATTGCATTTCTCTACTGACCAGTGAGTGATTCTGAGGGTACTTTTATATGCTTATTGACCATCTGTAGATTTTAGGAGAAATAATCTAGTCAAGTAATTTGCCTATTTTTAAATAGTGTTTCTTTTTTGCTGCCGAATTTTAAGAGTTCTTCATATATTCTAGATACTAGACATTACCAGACATGACATGTACTCTGTTGTTGTTTTTCCCTTGGCACCAAAGTCAGGGCCTTGCTCATTCATGCTAGGCAACCACTTTTTTTTTTTTTTTCTTTTTCTTTCTTTTTTGAGACAGGGTCTCACTAGGCAACCACTTTTATTAATATGCTCACTCCCTTTTTTCCCTATTATTTGTCCTGGGTTTGTTGTCATATCTTAAGAATATTGCCAAATCTGGTGACACACATCTTTAGTCCCAGCACTTGGGAGGCAGAGGCAGGCAGATCTCTGTGATTTGAGGCCAGCCTGGTCTACCTAGTGAGCTCCAGGTCAGCTAGGGCTACAGGGAGACCCTGTCTCAAAAAAGACAAAAAAAAAAAAAAAAAAAAAAAAAAAAAAAAAGAAAGAAAAAGAAAGAATATTGTTAAATCCAGGGGGAGAAGCTTTCTCTTTGCTTTCTTCTATTATTTTGTGTGTATGTGTGCATACATGTGCCATGGTACACCTGTTAAGGTCATAAGAAAATTTGGAGTAGATGCTCTCCTTCATGTGCACCCTATAGATTGAATTGAGGTCATCAGGCATGGTGATACATGCTTGTAATTTCAGTATTAGGAAGGTTGAAGTAAGAGGATCAGGAGTGGGAGGCCAGCCTGGACTACGTAGTGAGACTGTATCTTCAAAGAACAAATGAAACGCAAACAAAACCAATAACAAAAATATATATCAAAGTCATCACTCATCAGGTGCTTTTGTAGGCCAAAGTGAAGAAGGGTCAGTGGTATTAATTGATCTAAGCTACCTCCAAATTTCTGAAAAAGTCCTTTGGCAACTGTTACTATCTTGACCAGCATGTTAGAGATGTTCTGTATAGCAAAACTTAGCTAGGTGATCTCTAAAATTGGTGGTAAAAGCAAGAGAAGCTAGAAAGATTAACTAGGTTTTTCTCTGGTATCATGACTTTTCTGTGGAGTTGTGTTACTTCCCACAGGTATCTTTGTCTTGAGTTTTCTGCAGATTGTTAGGTCATATTGAAAATTTTTTTGAGTTGTACATGAGAATAGATAATAGACCAGGTGTGGTGGCCTTTATTCCTAGCACTTGGGAGGCAGAGGCAGGCAGATCGTTACAAGATTGCCTTGTTGACATAGCGAGTTGCAGGCCAGCTGGGGCTACAGGGAGACCCCGTCTCAAGAAAACCAACCAAAGCACCACTCTCCAACTCTACCCACAAAACATAACAGATGGTATTATGTATTTCATACTGCCTTATATCAGGAAAAACTTAATTCTAATTGTCTGATCATTAAAAATAAGCCTTATTGAGGACATTACAAAAAAATCTTTCCAGTTTTAAGTGAATGTTTGTGTACACAGTTGTGTACAGTTGTATAGTTATCGTCACTGTTGCTCAGAATTCTTCCTGCCACTAACAATCATCTACTCTACATTCCACAACTAATTTTTTCTACCACTATAGTTTTGTTTTTCTTAGAATTTCATTATGTGAAAAGATAAATTTACAAATTTAAAGATCTTTTTTTTTTTTCCTTTTTGGAGACAGGGTCTCCCTGTAGCCCGAGTTGGCCTGGAACTCACCATATAGACCAGGCTGTCCTTGAACTCACAGATCTGCCTGCCTCTGCCTCCCAAGTGTGGGGATTAAAGACCACCATGCCTGGCTTATTATGCCCAGCAGAAATTTAAAGATCTTAATCAGCTTTATTTGCTCTCCTAGAATTAGAAAACATCTCTTTCTATAAAACAGAATGCATGTTCTGATGGGTTAAGTGTAAGTAGGTTTTACAGATAGAAGAAAGTTAAAGGAGACAAGAAAAAGTTTGATCATTGCCAAATTAATCTACTAAGGAAGGGATAGGGAGATAGTAGTATATAACTGATTGGTTAATAATAGGCTACTTCACGTTATTTATTTTTTTGGATAAGAATTAAAACAGAGGGAACTTCATTAAGTATTTTGAAACTGATCTGTTCAGAAAATTTGGCTGCTACTTCTCGTTCCTGATTTCTTTGAATGTCAGGTAACTTTTCTAGCTTGGTGATGTGGAACTTTAGTGTGTGAGAGGCTCCATTTTGATATTACTTTGGACTGTTGGGGCCTACTTCAGTCAGGAACTTAATTCAAAACAATGGCTTCCTATAATTTAGCAGCTGCAAATGGAATCTTACAGTTTGATCATTGTACTTTAAAGGAGATAAGGCATAAGGAAATGATTTTGGCCAGAAATTGTAGGTCTAATTCTTTCCGTTTTTATGTGACAGGGACTTGCCATGAGGTGTTGAAGCCTTGTTTCACTGAGTTGGAGAGACTGGACCTAAATGGCGCAGCATGACTTTGCTCCAGCCTGGCTTAATTTTCCTACTCCGCCATCATCAACAAAGGTACTCTTCTGCATCTCTAGGTTTTTCTGTGTGCTCTCTTTTGCTAATTTTGTATACAAATGTAATCAAAATGTGAAGGTTTGTGCTGGGATGGGATGTGGCTCAGTGGTAAAACAGTTGTCTAGCTGTGAGTTTACAGTATATAGAGAAAAACAGACAATTTCTTTGCAGAGAAATGTATTTTGTAACCATCCAAATTACTTTAAGGGTATTATTAGCTAAAATGTCCAGGCTAGAGATGTAGTTCATTGGTAAAGTGCTTGCCTAGCATACATAAGGTCCTTGGCTTAGTCTCTAGTACTACATAAACTGGACATGATTGCTTATGTCTCTTGGAAGGTAGAGGCAAGAGGATCATAAATTTTAGATTATTATCCTCAGCTGCTTAGTTGAGCTTGGGCTACATGAGACACTCAACAGAAATGTCCCAAGGATTCTGAGTACCATCAACATACCAAACCATTTTCTTTATAAGTGGTCTTGGAGTGTTATGTGTGTACAGGCTCACACCACTAGACCCTGTCTTTGTTTAAGGTTGTCTTTGTAGTGTTCAGAGTCCACATATTTTAATGTTACATTTTTTTTAAATTATTTTTATGTGTATGGTGGTTTTGCTGCATGTATGTATGCATACAATGCCTGCAGAAGCCAGAAGAGGGCGTTAGGTTCCCTGGAGTTACAGATGGTTGTTAGCTGCTGTATGGGTGCTGAGAACTGACTCTTAACTGCTGAACCAGCTCTCCAGCCCTACCCCACATATTTTAATTCAGACTAATCAGATACTTGAATTTACTTCTTGCCTTTTATAATTTTTTTGATTGCCATTTTAAGTAGTAATGATACCTGAGCATACATAGTGTACTTTCAAGCTTGTACAGTATTTTGCCAAATATTTAATTTGAATATAACTTCATGAGTGTTGTGATTTAGTTGCTCTTAGTTCTTGTATTAATTTTAAATACTGACCACCTTTATCCACATAAGGAAAATGAAGTGACTGTACCAGAGTAAAGGACACATGGGCACAGTCATCCTGAAATGATGATAGTTTTTTTCAGGGCTCTATATTTCTTATTGTTGAGATAAACTCTCACTATGCAGCTCTGGCTGGCCTGGAACACTCTGTATAGATCAGGCTGGCCTTGATTCATACCTGCTTGCCTTTGTACCTTGAGTTTTAGGATTCAGGCCTGCACCACCATGCTCACCTTCTTGAAAAGCTGCTTACCTCATTTGATATCACAACACCCCTCTATGAAACTCTATTAATTGCTGGTCGATTGCTGTATTATTTTCAACAGTGCCGTGGGACATAAATTGCTTCTTGTTCTGACTCAGTTTAATTAGATAAAGAGTGGTTTTTGAGGCCAGTCTTTTGAGGTTTGGTTTGACCCCAGAAGGGCTCATAGTTATTTCTTTCCCTGGTTCTCTCTGCTCTTAACTTGCTTATTGGTTTAGCCACCAGTTACCTTTTTATTTTTTTAAATATATACCACTAAAACCAAACATGTAAAGTCTCTGAAATTATCCTAAAAGCAGAACAAGAGAGATACTTACTCAATTACATAGTAAGAATTTCTATACTCTTCTGATAACTCACTCTTCTATATTCTTTTTTTTTTGTCTTTTTGAGACAGGGTCTCCCTGTAGCCCCAGCTGTCCTAGAACTCACTATGTAGACCAGGCTGGCCTTGAACTCACAGAGATCCACCTGCCTCTGCCTCCCAAGTGCTGGGACTAGAGGTGTGCACCACCATGCCCAGCTTTCTTCTATATTCTTTCATGGACTTGGAAGACTTTTTTTCAGAAAAGTAAATTTTTACATGACCCCTGACTAAAGTTTCAGCAATAATGTAAACTTTTAACTTAGTAGCAATCACTTAATAAAAATAGTTGTCACAAATTATGTTTATAACATCTAAGTCTGTACATGACATTTAAAGTAGCACCTGTTTTTAAGATACAAAAAGAAAGTTCTCCAGAGTGTTAGTAATGGTTTCACTCCCACCCTCCTTCCCTTTCCCCTCTCCTTCCTGGTTACAAACCAGAATTCCTGTGACCCCCCCCCCCCAACTGCCATTAGATTAATTTGCTTAAATGGCTTAAAGAACTCAGGGAAATACTTGCTTTTGTCAGTTCATTATGAAGGATATATATGGATAGGGTGAAATATTGAGAGGGGGCCTTTCAAGAACCATCTATGAGCCTGTATTAATTAAACCATTGGAATAAATTCTGAAGTTATTAAAGTAGCTCACTATGAATAACAAGATACCCCTATTGCCTAGTGATTTCTAAAGATTTTAGGAGGTCTCTGACCAGGGAAAAGAACAGAGCCCAAAGATATTTTATCTTAGTGAACACTGTCATAACAGAGACCAGTTTGAATAATTGTTTTCTGCCGTGCTTTATATTTAAAGTTATTTTAAGGATACCATATTTTACCTTTTCTAACAAGTAGTTTATTATAAGATGTCCTTTTTAAAAAATTTTTTAAAAACATTTTATTATTTTTATTTTATGTGTCTAAGTATTGCCTACATGTATGTGAATGTACCTGTGTTGTGCAGTGCTGTGGAGGTCAGAAGAGGGCTTCAGATTCCCCTGGAGCTGGAGTTAAGGACAGTTTGTAGCTACCATGTGGGTGCTGGGAATCAAACCCGGGTCCTCTGCAAGAGCAGTCAGTGCTCTTAACCGCTAAGCCATCTCTCCAGCCCCTAGATGTCCTCTTGTATGTTCCAATAAGAAAGAAAAAAATATTTTCAGTTTAATGACAAATTAATCTTAAGAATTTTGGATTAAAGAGATGATAAAATGTAGAAAACTCTTTGCTGGAAGTGGTCTATCTAGCTTAATAGCTGTGTTCTATTTTGTTTCTTCTGTAGTGTAGAGGATACCAGAGAGTTATGATCATCTGCTTGCTTATTAATTAAGCTCTACTGTCATGAGGCAGCCATATTAGTACCTTTAGGTATACAGGCACCTCTCATAAAAGTTTATTAAAAATAGCTCTTAAGTGAATAATTTTAGTTTAGAAAATTTTCCCTTAAAATGCATTGGGATATTGATATTCTCTTAGACAACAGAATATAATTTGAAGATGGATCTTAACTGTCATCTAAACTTACTCTTTAACATGCTTATTTGGAAGGTTAACTGACTTTGATTTGTTTTCACATAGCAAATTAATGTGACTCTATCCTGGATATACTTACTGGGATTCAATGTGGAATTATGTAAAATGATTTATAATTCTATTTTGTAGACTGTAAGGACTTAAAATTGTTAGGAATGAAGACTCCTAACTGAGGAAGGTACCAAGAGTTTTTTCTGAGTTTATATTTCTTGAGCCAAGGTCTCACAGAACCTAGATTGGCCTTTTAATTTTTCTTCTTTCTTTTTTTTTTTTTTTGTGATCTTTTTGAGACAGGGTCTTCCTGTAGCCCCAGCTGGCCTGGAGCTCACTATGTAGACCAGGTTGTCCTTGAACTCACAGAGATCTGCCTGCCTCTGCCTCCTGAGTGCTGGGATTAAAGGTGTTTGCCCCCATGCCCAGCTCTGGCCTTTAATTTTTCATCATCCTGTCTTTAGTTCCCAATGTTGGGATTATTGGGGATTACTAAATCAATTTTTGTCACTGTTTTTCTGCTTATTTTTGTCCAGTTGCTCTTGATTATCCATTTAGAGGGCTTTTTCCAGATCTGCTTCAGAATCTTGATATATTTGGGCTTATTGCTTATCTTTTTATTTCTTTTTGACATTTTTATGAAATACATGTAAGACTTACTTAATTTGGTGTGTGTCCAGGGGATCTTTTTGAGGCTCTCCCTGTAGCTGCAGCTGGTCTAGAACTCAAGAGATCCAGATCCACCTGCCTCCGCTGGGATTAAAGGTTTGTGCTACCATACCTGGCTCACTTAATTTTCAAGGAGTCTCATGAACAACAAGAGCTGTCTGGAAAGTGAATTAAAAGTTTGTGAATCTTACCTTCATTTAAATGTTAACCTAGAATTAAGGCTGATAATTGTTATTATGTAGTAAAATCCTTAATGCTTTTCTAGAATGGGTATTATTATTAATCTTTTATAGGCTTTCATAATAATAATGATTAGATTTGAGTGCCAACTCTTCAACCTTGAGCATGGTAGGCAAACACTAAACATAGTCACTGAGCTGATTGGTATTCTTTATTCTTTATTTATTTATTTATTTTTATTTATTTGTGGTAGGGGCTCATGTGACCCAGATTGGCCTCTGAATCTCTATGTAAGGGAGGGTGACTTTGAATTTCTTTTTTTAAAAAAGTTTATTATTTTTATTTTATGTGTATGCATATATTGCCTGCTTGTAGGTAAGTGCACCCGTGTTGTGCAGTGCCCATGGAGGTCAGAAGAGGCTGTCAGATCCCCTGGGACTGGAGTTATGGACAGTTGTTAGCTGCCATGTGGGTGCTGGGATTCAAACCCGGGTCTTCTGCAAGAACAACCAGCCCGATAACTTTGAATTTCTAAACCTCCTGCCTCTACCTTCCAAGTTCTGGGATTAAAGGTGTGAGACATTGCACCCTACTTTTTTATTCTTCATTTTAAGATGGTGTCTCAACTAAGTTGCCTAAGCTAGGCTAGCCTTAAACACTTCCTGTGGTTCAGCCAGGCCTTAAACTTTTTTTCTCCTGTCTTATTTCTTCAGTAGTTGAGATTACAGATCCTTGACACCAGGCTCAGCTCCAAATTTTCCCAGTTGAACATTACTTCTCAAGAGTGGCCACTTAAGTAGTATTTGAGACTTTTTTTTTTAACCCTAAAGGAACAAACACAAGCTCATGCTTTTTAGTGATACTTTTATTACATCTTCACTCTTGCTTTTTCTTTCATCTTTTAAAACTGCTAAGTCTCAGATTTCTCTTGTAATTAACTGCTTGTTCTTGGCTAGAGACTTTTGTTATATTTATTATGTCTCCTCTTAATCTTGTCTTAAGTGGACTAGACATTAATTACTAT